ATTTGGCTCTTGTAAGATGAGAATAGGAATATTTATTTTGTCAGTACAGTCTGTATGCAAGGAGCATTTGCTAGTTACATTTTATCTGTAGAGATTGGAAAAACTTGATTTTTTTTTTTAACACAACAAGACATTATAAAGCCAACTTCTCCATAAACTTTTGCAAAAAAAAAGAATGTATCCATTTGGGAAAAATACCAGCCCTCTCTTTCAATCTCATAGAAACAAAAAGTTTATTTTTTACAAACTGCCATTGGCTCACACTACTAGGTACAACAGAGAAATTGACTATATTCCAGATGAAATATTCCTTTTGTGACTTATGTGGATGCAGACATCAAAATGAAAAATCTTAATAGTGTATTTATAATTCTAAAAGTGGCCCTTGCAATTATTTAATCACTGAGGAAACAAGTTTTCTAAGAATTATTTCACTGTGGTGATTTGTGCTTGTCATCCCAGCAATAGTTGAGACAGAAGTATCGACATGAGTTTAAGGCCATCATGGATTAATAACAGATTTCAAGGCCAGCATTTGCTAAATAGTGAGATCCTGTCTCAAACATAAAAAATCGTCCAAAATAATCCTTAAATTTCTCATACTTCAAAAATTATGTGACTATCACATTTATTTTGAACATTTTGGTAATTGATATTGTGTATAATGATGAGAATAGCTATAAACACTCACCCAACTTGTGTTGCAAGCATTTGAGATTCTCTATAGGACACAAAATAATGTTCCTGCTCTCTATTTGTATTTTGTTACTTGGTACCTCGCCTCCTTCCCTCTCTCCTCTTCATTGAATGGTTCTTTACATAGGAGTGAGAACAAGAAATACTTGTCTTTTTCATGCTCAGTTTATCAGATTTTATTTATTTTGACTCTTTTTTACTTCAGTCTGGCCTTGAAAACATTATGTACCCCAGGCTGTTTCATCTCAAGAGTCCCAAAATGCTGGGATGACAGGGATATGCCATTATGCTGGGCTACTTTATATGTTGGTAAAATGTTCAAATTCAGGGCTGTGGAGATCACTCAGTGGAATAAGTACTTCCCTGGCAAGTGCAAGGATCTGAGTTCAATCCCTGGAAATGCAAAAAAAAAAAAAAAAAAAGTTCAGATTCATGCATGTTGCACTGGATTTCAGTCATATGGTTGTACGCTGTTCCTGTGTCTACAAACAACCTATTTTTCACATTCATCTCCCTTGGTTTCTTCACCTGTTAATTTTGAATAATGCTGTCATAAACAAGAGTATGGAGGTACCTTTAGTATATTGATTTTATTTTTGTTGAGTATAGATTGTTAGTGCTGTTTTCTTTGAAGGTGACAAAAAATGGGAATACTGTATTAGTGAGTGACCTAGAAACTTTGTAAAATCAGCCACTATCACTGAGATTTGTCCAGGCCTGATGGCAGTGAGGAACATGGACGTATCCCCTCGTGGCATTCCAGGAGTGAGCAGCTGAGCCACAAAAATGACTGCGCGTGGGACTTCTTTAGACTGGAAAGCAACGACAGTGGAAACCAAGGAGAGGGTTGAAAAAAGTCAGTTTGCCTGACAAGTTTTCTGTTAGTGTATTAGATTAATTTGTGAGTGGACTTTCATAGTAAAATGTGTATTTTATAATATGTAACACTCTCTAGTGAGCTTGGCCAGACATCAAATTGAAATTTTAACTAGATTGAATGATTCTTAAACTACTGTGTACTGGCTCTAAGTAATGCCAGTGGTACAGCCACAAAACTGCATTAGAAATTCTTGAAGCAATAGTCCTATCTTTAAAAAACCAGACTGAATAATAAGTTTCATTTGACTGAGTTAGTAATGTGGAACATCTGGCTTAAAAGGCTGAATTTTGAGATAATCTTCCTTTATGGAGAGAATAAAAACATGAAAACATCAAGAACATTGGTGTCCATTCTTGCTGTTTTCTGAAGCTTTGCATGTTTGGTCACAAAGAAAAAAAGGATCCTTAAAAATTGGCCTATATTGGATGCTCCATTTATGTCAGGCTAGCTCACTAGAGAATAAATCTAGGTCATAATAAAATCAACTTGATTATAATCAACTGTTTTGTTTTAAATTCTGTGATGTTAAGAGTGTATTGGAAAGACAGCATACATTTTGCTGGATTAGAGAGTAATTGTATAAAACAATATGTATATAGTGTTCTTTCAAATGGAAAATATTGAGTTAATATAATCATTATAGTGGATATATGACATGAATACGATCTATTTCAATCAAATGAAATGATTGAAAAATTCTGATGTGGAAAGCGTATGAACAGATAGTTAAACTAACATAGAATATCATGTATTTAAATACTTACACAATTATTTATTGCAAATATTATATTTTGCTGTGAATTGTATGTAAGTGACCTGGCTAACAGAAGAAAAACCTGTCTCCTACTGGGCCTATCATGGAGCCTAAAAAGAGATGGTGTGGATTATTCTCCAGAAACAGAAGGTATTCTTCATATTCCAGTAACTGACTGTTTTGGGACCGTGTCTCTCAAGTGTACTTACCAATTTTCAACCAATTGCCTGCATTATAAGACAGCTCTTAAGAAGATGGTAGACATCAGGTTTTCTGCAATTTGCAGTGAGTGTGTTTCCATAGAAGACAACATCGCTCTGGCAATATTTCCAGCATCTTCTATGATGGTAAAACTGGAGATCTCCCACGTTCAGGCTCCGGACATTGGGACCTATTTATTTTGTTGCATAGCTTCAGTCTAATTCTCTGATCCTTGATCACCAGAAACCATTGGCTGCAGACCAATATATAATTCTGGACAGATTTAAAAATTTTTCTTCCATTAGTAGAGGTCATCTAGAACTTCGTCCTCAGTTACTGCCAGAGAATTGTTAAAACTGTACTTTTTTGCAAATTGTTTTAAAATTTTGTTTGTGGACCCTTGGGCAAGTCTAAACTGGCTGGAGAGCTGCAGAAATGGGTTCCTGGCTTAGAAGTTCTTGGGAGTTCATTCACAATATAGGAAAACAACATGAATACCAGAATTGTCCTGCAAATGCACCTCAAAACAGCTTGCAGTGTACTTGGAAAATATCCATTGATTCATTTAATAAGGGTCAGAAAATTTGTGCTGGTGTTAGCAACATGTAGACAGAAAAAAAAATTCATTGAGCTAAAACCTTCAGTTGTGGAACTTACCAAAAAAAAAAGATGAACACTGCTCTGAAATTGATTTTGCTGTGACATTTCATTGGATAACCTAAATTGAGAAAAACCAACGGTCGATGTTAGTGGTATAGGGTATCCATGTCTTATTTGTATACATATGCAAAATTGTTTTTCTGCTAGAATTATAAAGCACCTATGAACCTTTAAATTTTAGGATTTTTGCAATGTAGTTAAGGTTAAATATTTGAGAAAAATGTTATTAACATCGTTTTTAGGTAACAATGCAATATGATAATTGTATATAACAAAATGTAATTGTTTTATTGTGTTCAGTTTATTGTTCACAGAAATGAAGTTAGTAAAAATGTATGAAGATAGACACTGCAAAATAGCTTTTTAGGGAAATCTATAAAAGTATTTTGGGTGAAAATTGGCTTCATAAAAATTTTATAAGGGAATTTAGTTCTACATTTTTCAGTAGCACAGGGTAGTACAGTAGAACCAGTAGTAACAGCACTGCTTTGTTAGTCTGTGAAAAGACATTTGAGATTCCATTTTATGAGGTATCCATGTATAGTTTATTATGGAATATTTCTGAATGACTTATGTTAAACATTTTCATTTTATTACTGTTCTCTATGGTTCCTTTAAGTATATAATTCTTTAATGTGTAATATTAAGGCAGCATATATGTGAATGTATATACATAGTCTGGTATTTATATTCATGTCATAAAATTATAATACATTTGCAGAAGACATATACTGACAGGACAAGTAGCCTTCAGTTTCAGTGGGACGTAGGATGATTTGTATACATTAAATTAGAGCACTGTTAGTAAATCATAAAATGAAAAAATGTTATTTTGTACTTGGTAATTCACTTGTGAAAGTATATTGTCAATTAGGTGACAGAATTTCTAAACAACTTTGAATATAATAGAATATTGCTAACAGCTAAAAAATACGGTGAAAATGTCATTGGAAACCTTTTGTGGCTGGCAGATATGTTTGTATATAACTAGACTTCATTGGATGTGTGAAAAACCTACATTTTTTTTAGTATTTCACTAAATTTTATCATAGGGTTGCTAACTAGAATGATTAACATTATAGGTAACTACTACTGCTACCTGTATTTTTATAAATATGTGCAGTGGGTGATTTTATTTCCTCATTTGTCATCACCTGTGTATATAAAGAAATGTGTAGATCATGTGGGTATTACTACATGCTATGTACAGGTTTACATTTATATGTACACGTACTTACAAAATATGTTAGTAGAAATTTTATTTTTCTGGATAATACTGTATAGTTGATAATGTCATAGAGATTCTTTTTATATGATTATACTTTAAATATAAGAAATCAAAAAAAATTAGGGGCTAGGGAGATGGCTCAGTAGAATAAGTGCTTCCCTGGCAAGCACAAGGGCCTGTGTTCAATCCCTGGTTCCGCCAAAAAAAAAAAAAAATCAGCTTGGTTTTCTTATTTTGCTTTTTTACATAGAAGTTATGCTTGGTATTTGTATATATAGTATATATTAGGGAGTAAAAACATTTTTAGTTGAATGGAAAATGGGATTATAATCAGGATATTGTGTCCATTTTACTTAAGTATTTAACTTGTGCTTATAATAGCGAACTAGACTGAGGTTTATAATATTTTGAGTTCATGCAAATCAAATTGTTCTGTGTTCCATTGCTGCATGAAAAAACTTTGTAGATAATAGGCCCAGTAATTTTAAAATTTAAAATGTAGACTTCAAATGTGTTGTATCTCACTAATTATAATTTTGTAATTATACTGTTTTTCATACCAATGTATTTTGAAATTAATAAGACACTGAAATTTATCACTCTTAGATAGGCTCATAGAATGAATATGGTAGTGGAACATGGCTGTAATAAGTGCAGACGGGAGTCCTAGCCAAGACAATTTCAAGATAGAGCCCAGCCTTGCTACCTTAACTGACAAGAGAAAAGGGTCAGAGATGGAGCCCAGTACTGCCAAAAATAAAGACACGTGGAGATGTACAAAATTTATCATTTATTGCTTTGAGTGTTTGAAGACAAAAGTCACAAGACTGTATGTATGCATTTACCCCATTCTCATAGACTAGCTTGCATTGTGTCAACTATGAATTGCATTTTAAAATCAACTTCTTGAGAAAAAAAAATAATTTGGCCTTTCTAGATGTTTGGGGTTTATTGACATACATTTCTATTTGTTTGCTTTTCAAGTAACATTCAAGATATAAATGATTATATCAAAGCAATTTTGTACTACCTCTTGGAACTATACAAAATTTTGTATGCGTTCCCTTAGTTGCATGACAACATTCAAGACAACTTTGTAAATAGTAAAATACAAAAGTAATTCTAACATCTAGTCTATCTAGATGAATAGAGTCTCACAAAGTATAATTTTGTAAATAAGTCATGATAAACTTTTAAATCATCACATTGGTCAATTTTTTGGAAATTGTTAGGTATCTGTTATTTCAACAATGTGTCTTTACTTTTTGTCAGGGGAAAGAAAGTTTTAAAACTGTATTTTCTATTTTGAATTGTTGTCTTGGAGGAGTATTCTATTTTCATTGTTAACATCTTAAAACCCAAAATCATCACATTGTATGCGTGTCTTTGGTCAGTTACATAGATGTTTATGATAAAACAGTGTCTCAAACTATTCGAGAAAAATTTGTAAATAACGTACTATTTTAAAACATCCAGATTTTCTAGATGCATGTTGTTGTAACATTGTAATATATGATAACACTTATAAATCCTTTTTAATTTTTGTATTTAATTATCTCTTAAGTCCTGTATTTTAGGTTAGATTATTGCCATACATTTTGACTGATAGCATTGAGAAGAAAAACTTTTGAACAGTTGTCTCTTTTTCCATTATTCCTTATCAACTCTGTGAAAGCTGGTTGTCAAACCCAATTTTGTGTTCATGGTGGCCTTTGCAAATTAATTTTAAATGGTTTCCTAAAAGAGCATGCAACTCAGCAATTGTGCAGCAGTAGAATCTTAACAGTGCAACAAAACATGCTGGATTGCCTAAGGAAAGAAAGAAGAGATTACAGGTGAGTACCAAGAAATTCTATTTGGTTTCAAATAGATGAACTAATAATATTATTGGAGATATTCTGTACAGAATAAATTTTCTGATGTTACAAGACATATTTACGGCTATTGTCAATCAAATATGTTTTTGGAAGTGCTTCTTTTGAAAAGTTCAAAGTTACCCTCACTGTTTGTGCTTCTGGTTGAAAGCATGCATTCTAATTATATGTTCAAAGGTAGACTTACATTACTAGCCTCCCTAATTTTTTATAAATCAGAAACAAATTTGCACAATTACTTTATGTCTAAAGACACGATTTTTTAATATTTATTTATTTATTTATTTATTTATTTATTTATTTATTTTTGCAGAACTGGGCATTGAACTCAGGCCATTCTGCTTGCCAGGTGATCGCCCATTCTACTGAGCTATCACCCTAGTCCAGTGTTGCAAAAAATTTTTTTAAGCTTTTTTTTTTTTAAAAAAAATCTTATAAAAACAAAGCATTTATTTTCAGTAATTGCTGAAATTCTCAAGATGAACTGGAGGCTGCCACAGCTGCTCTCTTGGGCTTGGTGTCATTCCTTCACGGAATCCATGCCTAAATCTGCACCATACAATTTTTTGGTGCCTCATTCCACCCGTTATGGTAGCATTTTGCCTTTTAGACTTTGCACTCAGTTATACTTTCTCTTGTACTTGTCGGGATAGCCACATTTGCCTCAAGTCAACTTCTGAAATTGGTAGACCCTAGATCCACAGTAGTGCCACAATGTGTGTATCTTACTGGGATGCTTTCCAAAGGATGGCATTCCCTTCGTTATTTTACTTGAACCACAGAGACCAGGAGTCAAATACGTTTTATAGGGTTTTTTTAATCATATAGAACTCCAAGGGAAAACATTTCAATACTTTCACGATTTGTACCCAGTATGGTGACAGGTATATGTATTTTATCTATTCTTTCCCATTTACTATTTTTTATTAATTTATATAATCTGGTGATAACCTTCCATTTACCCATTGTTCTGTCTTATTTTGTACTTCTCAGGTGATGAAGATGAGATATATATCATCACTAAAATTGCCTATTACACCTTAATTTATAGGTTTTAAGGACAAACCAGAGGTAAGGTGGATTTGATGAATATGTGTGAGACATCTCCTTGGCTAAGGAAATCAATACTGTTTAAGTGGTTGTCAAATTGTATTTTCAAAGAAGTAGGTATTTTGTTTCTTTGGAATGGTCGCACCACCTGAGGTATAGATGGCTTATGCTCTGCCACTGAGCTAATACACCAGTAATCAATTAGAGTAAAGTACTCAATTAGAGTAAAGCTACTTTTGTTTGTTTTTATGTTACTGGGGATAGAATGTAAGACCTCAAACTTGCCAAGCAGGTACTTCTGCCACTGAGGAATATTCCCAGCCCCTAAAGATATTTTAATAAAATACTGATTCATATGAAAATAGATTAACCCCTTATGGCAATTCATTAAAATTTAACTTAAAAATTTAAGTTTTAATAAGAGAATGCTAATTGATTTGTTTTAACAAGTACACTATTATGGTATTTAAAAAATCAGTTTCATGAAAAATGCAGGAGAACTTCATGAGAAATGCTAATATTAAAGAATAGTAAATCAGAACCACTGTGGTCTAAGTGCCTGCTTAGTCAAGTACAAGGAACTGGGATTCATTCCTGTGCCATGCTGGCCTGGCTCCAGGTGTGTTCAGCCAGCACCAAAGACTGGGCACAATGAACCATGCCTGTAACGGGGGTGGGGAAGCTGAAAACAGGAAGATCAGTGTGACACTGAGTTGGCATAGTGAAACCATGTGCCAAATACATAAAACTGAAAAAATAGTAATTCATACCAAATTGTAATGTAAGACCTATTAATGAGGAATTTTATGTTATTGACAGAAATTATAAAAACATTGGACAGCCCCTTCTCTACTAGTTTGCCTGTTTCTTCAGAGTGGTATGTATTTTTCTCTTAGATAATTTCATCAATAAAATTTTATACATTTATTTGACTATGACCTGTAAGTTTTCTATGTACTAAATATGCTTATGTAAGTTTGAATTCTTTTGACTGAATATGAATTATTTGTCTAGGTTAGAATCCTGGAAAACTAGAAGAGACTTTATTTATTCCCAGTAGTGTTAACAATCAATTATAAAAAAGTGACCTGTGGAAGTATTTTTATTTTTTTTAATTTTATTTATTTATTTATTTTTTTGTGTGTGGCCAGCTCAGCCCACCAGGGGGCGGGGCTGGCTGGCATGTGGTGCTGGGGATCGAACCGCGGTCCCTGTGTCTGCCAAGCTTGTTTCAAGTAGGTGCTTTAGACCACTGAGCCATCTCACCAGCCCAGTATTTTTATTTTTGAAGTATTCTTCACACCTTTCTGTGTGAAATATTCCATTAATAGTGTTACTGCAAGTTCCATTGAATTGGGGATATATGCCTTATTTATACCTTTTATTAATCTTGATGTATGATCATAGATGATTTTTATGTATGAAGTTTTCTTGAAGTAGTGAATTAAAATACTTCTTACCATGAATTGGTATTTGTAGCATTACCTATTATGGGCAATGAATCAATCATCTATATATATATATATTTTTTGCAGAAGCAGGGATTGAACTTGGATCCTTGTGCTTGTCAGGGAAGCGCTTATTCTACCAAGCCATCTCCCTAGCCTCATATAAAATTTTTTTAAAGCCTTCTATTATTTTATTTTTATTTTAGGGAAGGGTCTACAGGTTATTCAGGTTCTCACTACTAGTTCAGACTTGTAGTGATTTGCCTGTTTACAGCCTCCCAAGAGCTGGGATTAGAGTTTTGTGCCACCACACCCAGTCTCAGTTGCCCTCTCAGCATGCCCCAGGGGCAGGGCTGGCACAGCAGGCCCTGGGATTGAACCCCTGGCCCCTGGGCCTGCTTGCATGCACTTTAATCCACTGAGCTATTTGGCCAGCCCTAAAATATTTATTATTTTTTTTTAAGTTTTTTGCAGAACCGGGGATTCAACTCAGATCCTTGCATTTGCCAGTCAGGCGCTTATCCTACTAAGCCATCTCCCCGGCCCCTACCTTAAAATATTTATATTTTTTCATGTAGTCATCAAATTGGCATGAATTCCTTATGTAATTTTTCCAAAGCATTTTTTAAGAGTAATTTCTGTGGACTGCACATAATTCTGGGAAATTGGTATCAATGAGAAATAGAAATTAGTAGTGATTTTCTAAAAAGACAGTTAATGTTTTTAAGCAGTATAGATCATGGCAGGCCGGGGAGATGGCTCAGTAGGATAAGCACTTCCCTGGCACGCACAAGGGCCTGAGTTCAATTCTCAGTTCCACCAAAAAAAAAAATCTTTTATTCATTTGGTGCAGGGTCTCACTACACAGCTTGGGAATATAGTGATCCTCTTGTTGCAGCCTCCCCAGCTCTTGGATCACAGGCATGCACCACCACATTGGTTTTGGGTGGTCAGCTCAGCTTGCCTGGCCTCAGTGCATGACTGGCATGGCATGCAGTACTGGGATCTGAACCCAGATTCTTGCTCTTGCCAGGCAGGCACCGAGACTGCTGAGCTATTATCTCAGCCTAGACAGCTAATGTTTGTATGGCTTCTTTATTACTTCAGAATTCCTTAAGACATTTTTCATTAGAATAAATGCTGCCATATTTTAGGTTTGTAATGGATAGTAAGTTAACTTCTAAATTTTCCACTGTGCCTTCAGGTGATTCCTGAGATGATCCTTCACCATTTCTGCTATCAGTCACCTCATCAAGAGTCGTCATCATTCTCAGAGACTTCCTAAGTTGACAGATGTTTCCACTGATGGTCCCTGCTGTACAGAAAAATTGGCGTCGAGCATACTTTTTGGATGGAAGATCTGAAAGTTTTCCTGCCAGACTATATACTGTTCATGAGCGATTTTTATTGTGCATGGACTAAATCTTAAGATCTGGAATGTTGCCTGCATTGCTGCCGAAAGAAGTTTGATATGATGGAATTTAAGGGCTTCGTCTCAGTGCTTCCATAAGTATGCATTGCAAATGTTTATTACCACTTTTCACCGAAGATATTTGAAACTGAATTAAACTTTGTAAACAGTTGAAGGACATGATACTTTTTTTGTACCAGAAATTCAGTTTAGGACCTTGCAGTTCTGCTACCACAGTCCAGTACATGGTATTTTTCAAAATATTTTGATTTAAAAATGACTTACATTTTAATTTTATTTTCTCATAAGTAATATTAAATGAATTTATTTGAATACTTATTAGCTATAAGTTCTCTATGTACCTCATGCTTGTGTAAAGATGAATTCTTTGGCTGCATTTGAATTATTTCCTTGGATCTTGACAAAATTTATTTTCCTCTTAATTCAAGTAAATGCTTGTTGAAATCAAAAATTCACCATTTCCTAAAACTGACCACTTAGATTTTAATAATTGATGGTAAATTATAACAAAGGTGGTTTTTCGTGTTAATGTTAAGCTATCATCTTTAGACCATTGTAATATGAAGCCATCTCATTTTTATATGGCATGATTTAAACCATCTCACTTTTTGTTTTCATGTATCATCATAGTAACGAACTGTTACTGATTCCTAAGACTATAGATCATTCATATGTAAAAATGTTTTATCATTCATTGTCATTGTGAAAATATTTCCTGTTTCCTATGTACTTTGTACAGAACTTATGTTTTGAAATATAGTCATTTTTATGTTTTATCATTTTTGAGTTTGTGGGTTTTTTTTATAAATGTGTACATCAGTGTTTTTTAACTTTCTATCAGGTGGTTATTGTCATTTTCTTTTTACACTAATCATACCTGTGATGTTAAGATTGGTAAGATTTCTTCCCTTCACTGTTGCTAAATTTTGGTCATAATCACATAGAGGGAAGTATTAGGTATAATTGGCTATATGTTTGTGGCTTGCTTTCCTTTACTGACAGATGATTTATACTATCTAATTTGTTCCACCGAGTATTTCTCATGTCTTTTTCAGAACATTCCCTATCTTTGCATTTTTCCTCAGGTTGATACAGTTCTTTTTCAAGTCAGAAATAATGCAGCTTTAATTTTACTTTCATCAAATTTAATAGAGAATAGAGCTCTTTACAATTGATTCTTCCTATCCAAATACAAGGTATGTCTTTATTTTTAATGAAATTACATTGAGATATTGCTAGTAGAGTTTATTTTTATTCAGAGGCTTTTCAAAAATTTCAATTTCAGAATTGGGATTATTTACTCAATTCTCCTTCAATAACATGAAGCATGTATCCTTTCATATGATCATTTCTAATTTTTTTCACAATGCCACTTTTAGTCATGAGAAATTCTATTCATAAATACAAATTGCTATTAGCTTTTTTATTTTAAAGAGAAAAAGAAATACAAATAATGAGGACACAGACAAAGCAACATACAGCAGTAAAAATGGTAGAGAATTTCAAAATGAGAACAGGAAATTAATGCTTGGTACATTATACATTATTGATTTTTTGCACACTATGAGAGAGTAATGAAAGATTCATCAGTTATACCAAAAACTTCTATAAACCTGGATTTTGTTGCTTAGATTTGAAATTACTTTGAAGAGTAGAGTTGGGTAGATAGCTGGGTTTGTTTCCCCGTTTTGCATGTTGCTGGAGGCCTGAGCAGTGGGGAGGCTGAGACGGGAGTGTCACTAGGTGTCTGAGCTGTATATTGAGACCCTGTGCTAAACAAATAATGAAATAAAGAGTATAAAAATAAGGTTAGAATCAATATATATTATTGTGATTTATTTCACTTACTATTTAGACTATTTGCATCCATTTACCTATAAAAGCCTCATTTTCATATCCGAGTAATACTCCATTAAATAAAAACAGCATATCTTGTTTATCCATTACTGAGTTGATGGACATTTGGGGTGTTTCAAAGAAACAGCTGTGATAAATTGTGCTGCTACATCTTTTAGGTGTCTGAATAGTAAGTTGGCTTCTAAACTTTCCACATAATATCATTATGATAATGTTTTTTCAGTTTTTCCCGAAGAATAGCTGGGTTGAATGGAACTTCTAGTTTTTTGAGGAGTTTGCACACTGATTTCCATAGAGGTTATAGCAGTTTACATTTCTCCAACAGTGACAATGGCATCCCAGCATTTGGTTGATTTATGCTAGCCATTCTTTCTAGATTATGATGGCATCTGCTTAGTTTTGCATTTCTCAAGTGACCAGTGCATTTTGACTTCATTAGAAAGTTTATAGTCTGAGGATTGATTTGATTGTGCTTCTACATTTGCTTTATAGATTTTTTATGCTAAGGATTGGATCCTTGCTCCTAGGCTACCTTCTGGCACAGTGGTGGTGATGGACAGCTCTGGTGGCACAGCAGCTGTTTGTACGGTTGAGCTCTGTGAAGCTTTGTCATCACTGCCTTGCCATATTACATTTTTAATTTTGAGACAGGATCTAATTAAATTGACAGCCTGTCCTAAAACGTGTGATCTTTTTTTCTCAGCCTCTGAAGTTGGGACAAAAGATAACATGCAACTGTGCCCATGTTAAGAGTTTTCAGGGGCCGGGGAGATGGCTCAGTGGAATAAGCACTTCCCTGGCAAGCACAAGGGCTTCAGTTCAATCCCCAGTTCTGCCAAAAAAAGATTTTTCTACAGTCTTTAACTTTTTAGACTCCCCAAACCTCTACTCCAATCCTCCCACTCCTCTACCCAGTCTCCTCTCCTACCTTTCCTTTTGAAGTAGGTGCTCTTACATCCTGTGAAGAAAATAATTTTTAATATACATATCCCCTAGTCTGAATTGATATTCCCATGTAAATAATAGCTTTCTGCTTTGTTTTTAGTAGTGGTGTGGGATTACTTGGCAGCCAGTATTTGCATAATTTAATTCAGTTTTCAATATTGCATCGACAAAGTTAAGCCAGGTGTGGGAGTGCATTCCTCTCATATGTTATGAAATGGAGAATGTTTATAATGGCATATTAAGCGATCCATGCACTTTACCCTTCACTTGGGACTATTCTTGTCACTTAACACTTTATGTTGTTGTTTTCTTTGTTTTTTGTGGAACCGGGGATTAAACTCAGACCTTTGCTCTTGCCAGGGAAGCACGTATTCCACTGAGCCATCTCCCCATCCCCACTTAACACTTTATTGAACCATTATATCCCTAGTTCATATGGTTGTCCTGCTTTTTGATTATATCAAGTCCTTAATCTTTGATTTTCACTGATTTTTTTCTACTGTGAAAAGAATCCAGTCATTAATGACCCTTGTGATTTTTTTTTTATCTAGCAGTTAATTGGAAAGATTCTCACCCTGACTATATATGCTGACACCTGTGAACTAAGCAACTGCACTGAACATGGCAATTTGTAATAGTAGGTTCATGCTTGGAATGCCGGTCATTCTGGTCTTCTGAATACGGGCTGCTTGTCATGACATGCCAGTTGCTGCTGTGCTGTTTCTCGGGTAGATGATTGTTCAAAAAGAAGGGGGTGGTGAATGAAGGCAGGAGACAGGAAAAGGGATGTTGTGGGACTGTCCTGCTTCAAGGTTGTATATACATAAGAATTATATACTTCTTTATGCCTATTTTTAAAATATATTCTAATTTTTAAATGTTTTTTCATCATATTCTGTAGGGAGTTAAAGTTCAACATACCAATATTTGATGAAAAGTACCTGTTCCATGTTATGCCTAAGATGTTGATATTCAGACAGATAGTGAGGTTAAGCTTAACAGCCTAGGTTGTATGGTAATAACCATAAACTTTCTCTTATAGAGGGTTAACAACATAAGTTTGCAGAACAAAATTAGAGAAAAAGGAGGGCCATCAGGAAAGTCAACCTTTTGTCCCTAGCCTTCAATTAAAACTCAAGACATATGATAACTTGTACTATAACGTCACGTAACTCAGTAGTATCCTAAATTTTCTGATCAAGGAGATTATGGGGCTAAAGAGGAAAGTGATCGATGTAGAGTGTCCCTAAAGAGAGTCACATTGGGGCAGGGGAGATATCTCAGGGGTATAAGCGCTTCCCTGGCAAGTGCAAGGGCCTGAGTTCAATCCCCGGTTCCGCAAAAAAATTTGAAAAAAAAGTCACATGGAGAAAAAACATTCTGTCAGGCTTTCACAGAGTGCACATTGGCCAAGCAATATCCGTGACTCATCCACATGGCTGACACTGACAAAGGATCTACAATCTGAGGTACAGGATCTCAGAATAAATCCTTAGGGGATTTCACTGACCTTATCGGACCCCAAAGCTACAACTCTTGTTGCATAGGTCCTGCTTTACCTTGGTCTTAACCATCCAGCAGAAAAGTATAAAAATGAAGTATAAGAAGTAAAGCCATGTTGTTATGTTGAGCTGTAGGGGACTCAGGTCAACAATTTCTGACATTGCCAGTCAAGCGGAAGACCCAATACCATTAGGACTAGTGGACTCTTTTAGAATATTTTGCTGAGTTAACACACCTATAATATTCAAATGACGGAATTAAACAAAAAAGCGGATACTGATGAATGTCCATTTTGTATCTATTCAAAATGTTTAGGCTAGATATATAGTAATAGTTTGTAAATAAGATATCATGTCTGCATCTTGTACAGCAAATAACCACTAGGAAGAGAGTATCCAGTGTGTTAACCACTAGGAAGAGAGTATGCATGCTTAGAAAATTATTAGGTATAGTGATTTGGAGGTGAATCTAATTTGAGATACAGTGTTAATTATAGTAAAAAGTAAATTTCTTATATGTAAAAATTTTAGGTGCCAAAGATCATTTTACCTTTAAGCAAATTTCATTTTTAAATTTTTTTTATGTTTTAGGGAAGGGTGTACAGAGTATTCAGGGTCTCACTACTAGATCAGACTTGTAGTGATTCTCCTGTTTACAGCCTTCCACCTGCTGTGATTAAAGGTGCACACCACCATGCTCGGTCTCAGTTGCCTCAATCACGTGGGGCTGGCACAGCAGGCCTGGATATTGAATCCCCGCCTCTGCACCTACTTATAGGCACTTTAATCTAATGAACTATTTGGCCGGTCCTAAGAGGATTATTTTTTATTTGAGTATGAATGTAATTTAACAAGCTTGATACTATAACATAAAAATTATAACCAAACCTACATGGCACCATTTTATAATTATCTACTGGTAAAAAGA